CATGGCCAAGTACATAAATTCAATTATGCCGATGGCATATACAAAGTACTATTGAAACAAATTAAAAGATTCCAAAAAGACTCAACAAATTACATATAATTCCTTTATTACATATGAAAATTTTTCGTTTATTGAAATAACCTTTGTACCAACAATAGAACAAGATCAGAAAAGATTGTCCAAAAGAACCAAAAAAGGTCTGGGAAATTATAGATCAGCATTTACAACAACTTCTATTAATACCAAATTTTACTGGGAATTATTTAACAAGTATTCAAATACGAGAACAAGCTGTAAAGGATTTGTAAACAGAATTCATTAATACGCCTTTGAATATATTTATGGAAAAAGTGGTATAATTATGATTGTTGGGAATTATGGGCACGATCAGCCTATGAAAATAATTCAATTCCTAAGAAAACGATGTTTATTGAAGGACACTGAAAAATTTTAAAACAAGAATTCCTGTATAAATTCATTTGTTCTCGTCTTGATCTTATTACTTGCATCATTTTATTAAAAATGATACCACTTTAAAAATGAAATTTCAGCAACTACTGACTGGGAACAAGATTGGAAAAAGCAGTTTAAAGCTGAATAGAAACAGCTAAGTTAATGTAATATAGAAACTCTTATTCAAAATCGGATTTGTAGCTGCCCTTATTTTTTTAACAAATCGGTTTATGATCTGCAAGCATTTAATTCATTTAAAAATGCAGAAATTTTTCAGCAAACCATAATTATCTATTTATATGGAAAAGTATACACAAAATTTCTTATGAAATAAATTCTGATGCACGAACTATAGAAATTTCTGAAATAATATTTTAACTGAAACAATTTGGAATGACCATATTATTATTTATGACGTAACAGAGAAAGCATTGAATTTTTTAAGGAACATAAATAAGCTAATAATTCAAAGGAGTAAAGCGAAATTTTGAGAATATGGTTCAGAAAAATGAAACATTCTCATATTGGAATCGACGTACAATGTCATTAACATGGAAGGATCATTCCAACAACACAAGATTTATGAATTAAAGGTTTTAATAATTATAATTTTATTTATTTTATAACATATAGTTAGAGTTAGCAATGTTGTTAAATTTATCTTTATTATAACAATTATCAAATTTATTTATTAATCTTTATTTGAAAGAGTTTGAAATTGATTATTTAATTAGTGTATTTCGGACTTATGTGTCATTTTTCTTGATATAATAAAAATACTCTACTCTCTGGCTCATTCTAAGAAAAAGTACGATTTATGTAACCTTTTAAAAAAAATGTTGTAATAAAGTTTAAATTGATTTTATTTGTGGCAGATTTAATTACTTAATATATATTTTCTATAAATCAATATTTTTTTTTGTTCTTTATAAAAAAAATTTAAATTTTCACTTTTCGATATTTATATATTTTATAAATGCTAATTATCTTCCAATTCACGTACTGGTGATTTTTGGTGGTTACGCTAGGGATGTTTCCGTAATATAACCACAAATAAATTTCACCAATTAATTTGCAGAAATTAACCATGCATAAATAAGGACAAATAGGAATTTTAACATCGAAAATCCGGAATAAATAATAATGTGAGGGTGTGACTCAGCGTAATAAATCCCTAAGGTCACGTGAGGTGAAATAAAGTAAGATTCTGTAATGTGATTTATCATCACATATTTCCATAATTAGTGTATATAATGAAGATCTTTGAATCCCAATTCATATTTTTTTATTTTTTGACATAAATAAGAATAGAATCCATTTGTCTATTCTTCAGTTTGCATTCACTTTTGTGAGTGTTTATACTCCCTCTTGTGGAGGGAGGCGATGGTTATAGGTAGACTCTTTCA